GGGTTTTTTTGCAATTAAAACAGCCGGTTTAATTAAGTGAAAGATTACTTTCCATTGGCTTTTTTTTTTTACAAAGAAAATTGAAAATCCACGAATTTAAGAACCCACGAAAATGCCAGTTTTGATAAAACCACGAAATTTCATGCCCACGAATACAAATGATTTCACAGTATTTAACGATTGCCCAAGATGTATCATAGTTTGGGAACCTTTCTGTTGAAAAAATTAAATTGTATATGTCACAGGGTGAGAAAAATGTGCAGCTGACCTGGACTCGAACCAAGACCCTGGAATACCGTACGCGGCTCTACCGACTGAGCTATCTGGCGCTTACACATCTCCCCTAAATATTTAACAGTTCTGAACCGTGACATACTCCCCTGCTATTATTGAAATTCGTCCTCGAATTTCACAGAGTTACAAAGCAATGTCAATTAAACTCTAAACTTTATTCAGTCACGGCCCCACGTTTGGCACAAAATGTCACAGGATGAGAAAAATGTGCAGCCTGACCAGGACTCGCACCCAAACCCTCGGAATACTGAACACAGCTCTACAGACTGAGCTTTCTGGCCGCTTACACATCTTCCTAAATAGTGAACAGTTCTGAACCGTGACATATACATATACATGCACAGTGTGTTAACTGAAGTGCAGATATTAGTTAACTGCACATCCGAGCATACCCATTGATTGGCTCATTTTTTCTGGGGTTTACTTATTGTGACAGCAGAGAAAGGGATAGCGAAGTAATATCATATTCAGATGCTTGTTCATTGGTTACTTTTTTTCTGGGGTTTCATATTGTGACAACAGGGAACATGTTTTTAGTTTTGCCTATGATGCAAAAGAGAAAGAACATCAAAACACTCAGCAATCTGATTTAATATAATAATACAAATCAGATAGCGTCATTTTTCGATGTTCTTTCTATTACATAATTCACACCTTGCAAGTATTAATACAAACATAGGCAGATTTACAATAACATGTGAACAAAAAGGTGAAATGCCTAATACCTACTTATACCCAATATATCAATTGGAAAATTAAAAACATCTTTTTACCTGTGAAAAGTGCGAAGAAAAACAGAAACATGTACAACAAAATCGCTAAAATTAGATTACCGCCAAAAACTCGAAATTTGCCATACGTGAAAATAATCTGATATATAAGTATATTCTGTTGTCAGAAAATTATGTGAAGATTGCATTTTGTTTATGTATTTTAGCTTACAACACAGTCAAGAAAACTCCATCAAAGAAGACTAAGCTATCTGCACCAAAAATTGATCTTGTCAAAACAAAAATAGTTGAAGAGAATATTTTTATTTCTGATCCTTGTTTACAAATGAAAAAAAAACTTGTAGGCTTTATACCTGACCCTGATAAGCTTGAAAGTATGGCTATTTCAAAAGACAAATTTCCAGAAAATTTCATCAAAGATACCAGGAAGTCTTCAGATGAAAGTGAACGCAAAATTGAAGAAAATGAACAATTTATTATAGAACTTTTAAGTAAAACACAGCCCCATCACGATCATGGTTACACAACTATTTTTGGGAAAAGGAAAAACTCTGAACATGTTGATGAGTTACTGGATCATGTGGATAATGATCCAGAAAGACCAGAAAGTCTAGAATCTTCATTGTCATCATGGAAGGAAAATCTAAATCTTGAGAGTGTAAAACATGTGATATTCATTGAACCAACTGATTCAAAGCAGGGATCAAAGAAACAACCAACTCCTATTTTGTTTTTGCGGCATAGGTATTCTGATATGTTTACTGCTGTTTGAAATAATTTTCACTCCTGAATGTCAGCATATGCTGAAAATATACCATGCAAATCAGGAGCTTTTTTCCTTTAATAGACAGAAGATGTTAAATTAAATTTTGATTTAAGTGTTTGTTTTAAATTTTTAAATTTGTATTTAAAAGTAAAACATCTTGCTGCTAAAAAAGATATTAAGTTCCTTTTTATGATCAATTTAAATATACTGCTACCTTTAAAATTAGTCTAGTGCTTTCTAATCAATTGATTTTGAAACTAGATGAACTTTGACAATGCAATTCATGATAGGTCACCTGATGAAAATGTTCCGATGGTCAGTGCTGAAGAGATAATTGATGAGCAAACAGATGAAGAAGATGTTGATGTTGAGGAGATGTCAAATGAAGATTCACGAGAAACTGCGCCAATAAGTAGTGGAGAAAGTATGTACTACATAATTATACATGTAAGATTGTGACAAAGCTGTAGGCTAATGATTTATAAAATTTAGTCTTGTATGCCCTTATGTTTCTATTCAAATTTTTGAAGAACCTGTCTTATACTCCCAGGTGTTTCTGTGTCCACTTAAAGTGACACTTTGGTTAAGTTATATATGCTGTTCCACTATTTCACTAAATTCAATAAAGTTTAAGGTTTTCCAATCAGTTGGCTTGTTTCCACTAAAGCCTTTGAGATATATTGTTTTGAAATTTGGAATTCTTGTTTATAACCTTCTGTGTTCACTCCCATTTCTAATCTAGAATGCATAGCTCTGTTGTGGATTTTGACATGAATATATGCCTCTGCTCTTTTTATATGACCCCTGTGTAATCTTTTTGTCAAAAGAATGCATTAAGGTTTAGAAAATTTTAAAATAATTTTATCACTTAACCTTTTCACTGGCATAGGGACGGCTTATGCCGTCCCTGTTATTTTCGGCGTATTTGCAATATGGACGGCTTTTGCCGTTTCTATAATAATAATAATAATAATAATAAATTAATAATAATAATAATGAAAATGATAATAAATATAAAAAAAATTATACCATCGACAATAATTATTATTACACTAACATATTTGGAAACATATATAATTATTATAATACTAATAACAAATAATAATAATTATAAATTAATAATATAGTAATTTCTTAGAAAACTCTGGCAAAAAGGTGATCGATAAAATAATAACCCTCTGGCAGCGAAAGGGTTAATAAAGTTTGTAGTACATGTATTTCATTTTTAATCCATTGTATCAGCTTATATTATGAAAGTTAGAACTTACATAATGTGTGCTTTGTTATTGATAGAGCCATACCCTCCAATGCCTAAGAGCATCTTGGCGAGAAGGGGCCGACTTGGTTATGATATACAGGATATATGCTCAGAGACAAGTGAAGAAGAAGACTTCGTCAACAAGAAGAAAAACAATCCTTTAGGTCGTGAAGGAAGAGAAGGAAATCTTGGCTGGGAGCCAGTAAGTAAAATAAACATCTCTAAGATCTCTAGCCTCTTCGAATCAAATCCTGTCTGGGCAAGCCATTGTTTCCTTTAGCAAGAACCTTACACTCAGTAATCAGGACTGGTTGGTTCCAGAAACAGATTCAAGGATTCCAGAAACAGATTCAAGGATGTGTCTAAAAGCTTTAAGCTTACTTCACAAGCAAACTAAAATTCTGTATAAACTGCAACTGTGAGAGATAAACACCATCATAGTTCTTTGTAACAAGTATATTTCTGATATGTTCAGCACCTTAACCCATTACTTCATGAGCATTTTGTGAAAAATGGCTGTTTTCATTGAAAAGTCTCCCGTTACAAGTTCAAATTGCTATAATACTATAAAAACTGCTTCAACACTAATCAAACTTGGCACAAATGTTGACTGGACCATTGCCCTTGCAACAACATGCTCAGGCTTACATTTTCTGTTACCATGGCAACGAGGGGACATCTCAAAATTGCCAAAAATCACTATTTTGCGTTGATTTTTTCCATCAAAATTGATTTCAAAGTGCTGCAACTTCTCAATGGATTGAGATAAAGTCAAATGCTTTTCAGCATTGGTTACACGTTACCTTATGATCAATCTGGGCTCATTTATAGCCTCTCACAAGTCCAAAATTTTCTTGGTGATGAGGGGGACTCCGCCCCCCCTTCAAACCCCCCCAAACAGAAGGGGGCACTTCCCCCTTCTGGCAACCCCCTGATGTATCTTTCGGTTGGTGGGCCGCGCCAAAAAAGAGGTCACTTTTTTTAACAACAATTCTCTAACAAAAACAAGTGTTGGGGGCCTAAATAAGGCATTTTTTCACCATTTGAGACAACAAAAGGGGGGGGGGGGTCGAAAAAGGCGTTAAAAGGCGTGTATATGACGTAATGGGTTAATGTAAAAATCAGCTGAAATATTCATTTGATGTATTGTTATAGTTTTTTTAATCACTTTATTTCTTTAAGGAATAAAATCATAAGTAATGAAAACTGACTTGTTTCTCTAGTACAGAAAAAGGAGAGGTTTTATAAATTACAAAGATGTATAGATTTATTTTTGATTTTTAAAAATTATTACCATATATCTCCAAATAAAATGCAAGCATCTATGCAAAAACTCAAACTACTGTTAAGAGTTAAATCCTTTGAATGTAAATTAAAAATTTAGATAAAATGTTATCGGGAAATGAATTATACACTTTCAACAGAATAAGTTAGCATTTGCTGGGTTTAAGGTGATTAGTACATACTTGGTGGATCTGAATTTTATTTGAAGCAATGGAAGTGGTTTGTATGGCAAGTATATGTTAGCAACATGCTTTAATATTACTTTTGATTTTTATTTTCTTTTATGTTTACTTGATACAAACATTTTATCTGTTGATTACACTTTTCTTTTAATTGTTTCTGTTCAGCTATTTTAATTTTCAGTACAGTTTTATCATGAAGTTAGTTTCCTTGTTTGTTCTAGGTGATTATGCCTCCCTGTTTGTTCAGAGACATAATGTTAAGTCTTATATTTTGTCCTCCTTCTGTCAATCACACATTGAGATCCTGCAATAAATTGTAAAGCTATTGATATACTTTCAGAAAACTTAAAATTGTGGCAATATAGATTTGGTACTGTACAGAGCCCTCAGTCCATTATTTTAGAGCTGAAATTTGGACCCATTCCTCTTCCCTTTTGAGTATGCTCTTTAAAAAATTAAATTAAAGATAAAAAATAAAATCATGCCAAAATTAGGGAACCTTTAACAATATCCTATTGAAATTTGTAATATGCAATGTATATTGACAGACAAAATTCCCCTTTTTCTTCAAAAACAATGTGAAATTCCTTTAGGTGAGGGCCACTGGCTCATAACCCTTACTAGATTATTAGGGTCCTGTTGAAATATGTACAGTATATATAAAATGGTCAAGGTGCTAGTTCAGTAATAAATTTACAAGTTTTGTATTATTTTTCATGGAATGTCAAAGATAGATGGTTGGCAATTGCAGAATTAAGATGCTTTTCATGTAATAGCATAGCATAATTCTTGTCTGGTTGGCTTCATTCAAATTTTGCCTCAAGAGATTTCTGGATTGTGGATATCCACAGGAGTGAAATGAAGTGATTGATAGCTTTAATAGTGTATTTCAATTTTGATAAATAAGTGGAGTTATGGCTCTTTTTATACTTTAATGTAGAAAACCCTGTTAAATGTTTTGCTCCATATTATTCTTTATATGATCCTAAGAATCTTTATGGAATGGAAAGGGTTTCAATTTTACAGTGTCCTTAATCATTTTAATCTTTATTACAGGCATTGATATTAGTACTGTTAACATATTTTGTAAGTTTTGGCAAATATAATCACATTCAAGAAATTAACTTTTATGTTGTCACCACACATCAGTCTTTGTATGTTTACCACAGATTTTTATTAAATTCTGTATTATACATGAACATTTATTGTGAATGTTTTGTAGAAGTTGGCATTGAAGTACATCAAAGAGCTAAAGGCACGTAAGAAGGACGAGAATATCCCTCTGAGGTGTAAGATCTGTAAAGATAAAACATTCACAGCTACAGCAACCCTAATGTACCATTATCGGAGTCATGCTGGTAAAGTTTTCATATATGTTGTAACTGTTTATAAATAAATGCACTGTATTTAAGTTTGTCAAAGCATTATGTAATCTTCCTTGCAACATTTGTCAATTGGCATGATTTAACTTTTAACTATTCTGTTTGTTTACAGAAACCAGTTTAGATTTTAAGTCTTGTTATGTTTTAGGGTTAGTTAAATCATTTTCTTCTCTTTCATGATGATTATCTAAATTTGCATATTATCCGAGATAGGAGTGAGTGGAAATATATTCTGTAATGGGTTTGTCTGATGTATAGAGTAAATGTTATCATAAATTCAACATCATTACTGATTGATTTTTGTGATTCTCGTCTATACTTTATAATAATTATGGCATTCTATTTTTTCCAGGGATTAAACCATTTGTCTGTCTGATATGTAATACAACATTCACAAGACAACACAGTCTTAATTATCATATGCTGATTCATAATAATCAGAGTAGATTTACATGCAAAGATTGTGGTCGTAAATTTAGGCACCCCAGTCATTTTAAGGTAAGTGTATTAGGTATCAACTCTTAAAGTTTATGTATAGCATTTGTATTTCTTTTTTATAGAACCTATCGAATATATAATTTAAAGGGCAAGAATGATAAAAGAATGAAATGTGTATAATTACAACATTTTCAAAAGTAAAATTGTTAGTGCATAATAAATTCATTTAATAAGAGCAAGTAGCATAGGTAGAATTGAAAACTTTATAAATATGTAGATATTGTCATGACCCACTCAGAATGAATTAACTTTCTTCCTCAGTAAAGTTTTCATTTATTGTCATACACTTCAATACTAGCAAGGCTATTATTAGTTTACTTTCTGGCAATGAGAACATTTAAGCAGCTCTTGTTAATCGCTAATTGTTTTCTTTTGGCTGTTATAACAAAGGGTTGTTGTTGGGAAAAAAAAACCTTCATATCTTTAAGATTTCTAGTAGAAATTTGTTCATGGGCCACATTCATCTAAATAAACTTCCTGAAAAGGGTATATCCCCTTTTTTTCTCTGATCAGTACATCTGTAGCTGTGGTAACAGAAATGTAATTTAGGCCTTGAAAGGTGGATGTTAACACTTGAATGTGAATTAATGGTTATACAAAGATAACGACCATGATTATTTTTCTGTGGTCAAAGTTCTAGAATGCTTTACTGAAAAGTGCACAAAAATGTTAATGATTCATTATGTGCAAATAAGTGGCATGACTATTGATTGTTTACATGGGTTCAATCATATGGGGAAAGGGAGTTATTGAAATTCTGTGCAAATACCATGTGTGCATACATGTACAAATACAAAGTTAAATTGTAAGAGTGTTTTCCCTTGTATTGCTGGCAACATATATTCCACATGTAAATTAAAAGTGTTTTCCTTGCTATTTTTTTAATGTAAGACATAGTTGTGTTGCTGATTTAGATATTGTCATGTTTATATCAATTCATATTGTTTTAGGAGCATTTGAGGAGACATACTGGAGAAACCCCCTTTGAGTGCCTTGATTGTGGTCAAAAGTTTAAAACCCGCAACACATATAAAAGACATCTAAAAACCAGACATGGCAAACTCCTTACAGCCACCGGGATCCACATACTATCCCAGGAAGAGTTTGCAAAAGTAAGAACCAAGAGGTATCATATTCCAAGAATTTTACCAGAGATAGGGTATAAAATGCCAGAACTAACATTCACAAAGCTTAAAAGAAAGCAGAGTGGAGAATTGGAAAAAGTTGAGGAAGAGAAATTTTTAAGACCTGAAGCTTTGGAGCATGAAACTATGATTCTTGAGGAACTGAAAGCAGATATTAAGAAAGAGGCTGAATCTGGGAATGAGTCTGATCCAGAACTTATAGATATCTTAGAGGTATTGTCTCAAGCAGGTGCTTCTAACAACAGTAGAGGACAAACAATTAAGCAGGAACCCTTGAGTGATACAGATACATCAGGTAAAGCTGGCACCACTGTTATTTATGTTAACAATATTGGTGGCAGTATTACTCATTCAAAAGGATTGGTGAATATCAAGTAGTCTACTTTGTAATGCTTGTTTGTAATTTTTAATCATAAAATAGTGAGTATGAGATGCCGATGTGATTTTAAAATTGATTTTTAAGAACATTATCAGGTATGTCCTTGAAAAGTGATGATTGAATTTGAATAAAGGAATTGCATTAAATATATATCAGTCATTGTACATTGTACATATTTTATATAATTTCATACCTACTATAGGGGTAAGAGGAATAGAATCTGCATTTTGTAATGATTGAGTTTGACCAAATTGTTGACTTTTTATACAAGATTTGTCTTTCATAGATCTGTGTTTGAATTGATATCTGCAAACAAATCGTATCTTTGATAGTGATGTATAGATTAAATATGTGAATATATTTGTCAAATGTGCTTAATTTGTCAGCTGGGTCTGTAATTGTTAATTGCTTGCTTTATAAAAAAATTAAAATAGCTACATGCTTATACTTAGATAAAACTTTACTAGGTTATGAGTGATTTTTTTTTCAATAAGTTATAATTTCAATTGAATGAGCAATTTTTAAAAGACGTTTTAGTTTTATAAAGATACGAAACCGTTGAGACTCAAGGATCAGTATATGTCGAATTTTTCTTGTTCTATTTGTTTGGACAAATACCTTATGTTTGTGGTATTAAGGATGCATTTTAATCTAAGCATACAATGTATTTTAAGAAATAATTTTCTTAATATTTGTAAAATACATGTTATGTATATATGCTTGGATAATAATTTCATGTGATTAGTTTATGAAATGTTTGTACACTTGCCTTTGTAAAATATTTTACAGTTGTTAAAATGTACAGTGATTATTCTTTTAAGAACCAGCACAAGGTGGCATGATATATTAATAAATGTTTAAACATGTAACATTGGTCTCAGTAGTTTAATGATAACCTGTTCATAGATTTCATTTGTTTGTGACATTTCATATTGGCTAAATACGTTTACACAAACATTTAAATGGGGAAGGTTTAACCCCTGTCCATGTGTCCTTGTGTATGTGTGTTGGAAAAAGTATATACTTCATGTGTTGCATGATGCACGATAGTTACCATGTGCGCACGCGATAGCTACTACGTTGGTCAATCAATATGTGCGCACGTAATAATTATCGCGTACGCTTGTGGTAGCTATCGCGTACGCGCGTAGTAGCTATCGCGTACGCACGTGGTAGGTACAATGTTTCTGATGGCCCCTTTATGCCATCGTAATGATAGGATTACAAAAAGGTTCAAGTTACGAGGGGCATTTATAAAGTATTCACCAGTGTGGTGCTTTAGTCGTAGACGTAATATTTCTATGGAAATTGTTAGACCAACCCTTCAAAGTATTCACCTTCGACTTGGATGCACTTTTCCAAGCGCCAAATCCAATCTGAAAATGCTTTTCGGTAGGCCTCTTTGGGTATAGTGTTTAGACACTGGAAAAGCGCGCTGCCGACGGCATGCCGAGATTCAAAACGGCGACCTCTCATGTAGTTCTCTTGATGTAAGGATTCAACCAAAAATCGCATAGAGTAAGATCTGTGCTGTATGCAGGGTGTGGTAAAGTCTCGATGCTATTGTCGCTAAGGTACGACTTTACCACCACTGACTTGTGGACAGGTGCGTTGTCATGCAGGAGTTTGATTCTGCGTACGCCGGTACGGGGACGGGCTGTAGTATAGTGACTAACAACAGCAGAAAGAACTGAATATCGATAAAAGATTCCGGTAGCACTCCTGCCTTCTGGTATTAGAATTCGAGCCACCATTCCCTGGCAATCAAAAAATAATTCATTTTGATGTGCGAGCTCTACGGGCAATTTGGGGCCGTTCGTCATTTTCACCGACCCACACCTTATTTTTTTCTTTACCATCAGGCTCATAAAAATAGACCCATGTTTCATCACCAGTCACAATTTCATTCATACGGTTTTGGTCAGCATTTTTGTACCTATCGAGCAGCTGTGACGCAATTCGCACGCACTACCGTTTTTGGTGCTCAGTGAGAAGGTGGGGTATCCGCCGGGCGCAAACCTTGCGTAACTTTAACACGCGAGTCAATATTTGAAAAACCGATGACGAATTAATGCCACATAAATCACCTATCTCCTCCAATTTACAGCGGGCATCGTCTTCAACAACTTTTTTTAACAGCAGCAATATTTTCGTTAGTTATTGCACAGGAAATTGACATTCTATAAGCATATATATTATAATTAAAACATAACGGCAAATATACCACTCTATCCTATAAATAAACACAAGGAATGCAAAGCCTTTTGCACACTCGATATATTTTATCTAATTACACAATACAAAATTATTCATTTTACAACCGCTGATATTTTAAATCAAAGCATTGTATACTAATAAATTGGCAATATTTATTCAAATGTCAACAAAATACTTTGTCTGGCACTCCATGCGCTGACGTCACTGACTACACTGATCCGGGCTGAATATAAACTATATATTTTTTTTCATAATAATCTATTTTCCACAGCATGAGTTTAGTTGAAAGGCCATTCTTTATGATTAAATCACCAAATGAAACTGTTTCTACAACGGAAATATACGCATACTATGAAATGTCATGAAAATTTTCTGATGAGAGCCCAAGTTACCTCCCTTTTATGCTAGAGTTACGTTTCCAAATGGGTTTTTGGGAGTTTATTTTTTGTTTCTATTTAATAAAAAGAACAAAAATATGTTAAACATTTGACACCTTAGTTATTTAAAATTTATTTAAAAATTAATGCTATAGAAAATAAATTTTTAGGGGAAAAATAAATAATTATCTTCAGCCCATAGCAGTATAGTCAGTGACGTCAGCGCATGGAGTGCCAGACAAAATTATTTTTTGACATTTGAGTAAATATTGCCAATTTATTTTTATGCAATGCTTTGATTTAAAATATCAGCGGTTGTAAAAGGAATAATTTTGTATTTTTTATCGAACTTGCTAAACCAGTTTGTTGACATTGATTTTCCACGTGTGTAATTAGATAAAATGTATATCGAGTGTGCAAAAGGCGTTGCATTCCTTGTGTTTATTTATAGTATGGAGGGGTACATTTGCCGTTATTTTTTAATTTTTTGCTTATATTGATAGAATGTTGATCTCCTGTGGTTATTGTTGTGACTGGACGACCAGGACGGGCCTCATCTTTTGTAGTCTCTCTACCGGAGGTAAAAAGTCGGACCCATCTTCTAACTGTGGAATACGATAGGGCACTATCCCCATAAACCTTGTCTAAGTCTGATTTAATATCAGGTGCAGCCCAAGCAATGCGCGAATTTTACAAAACGCTCTGCTCATCTTGAAAATTGTTATCTTTTTCTGCCATTTTCAGCTGCAGTGTACCTGACCGTAGTCGATTGAACGTTTCGCTCATTGCGTAGATATTTCACGGTTTTCTCGTGCATATAATTGTAGAGGTAAGTCTTACTTTTCTATACATGTATAATATGTACCAATTACGCAAAAGTTCACACTGATAAATACCCCTCGTGCCATCAGAGAGAGTAGACTGGTGTGTGCAAGACATAGGTCCCTAGTCAAAAGGTAAGATCATAACACGGGATTGAACTTCGTTTATTTCTATACAGTATAGCCAAAGGCAGTTTTGAGTTTGTCAAATACATAACTTCTGCATGCATGATGAAATTCAAAATAAATTGGCACTTATTACATGAATAGTCCAGGTTTCGCGTACAGGGCCCATGTGAAAGTTTAAATCACATCAGCTGATTCAACTCGATGTATTTGTCATAATATTGTTGTCTTAAAAGTTTAAGAACCCATGCTGCCAATTTGGCAAGGTCCTCCTTGAAGGTCAAATGTCGGACGGTGTCTGATTTTACAATGAATGAAACTAAGCTAAGTGTCCCCGAAATGGTTTCCTGTGACATCTTTAGTTTCAAGATTTGACAATTTAACACTGTTAATTATAACTCCATATTGCAAGTAATACAGATTTCAATCATGATACCTTCTCCATGATGAAAACAGATGATAACTTTGTAAATAGATAGCATACCATCATTTGGCTTTACATACTGTATCATTTTTATGGGAAATAACTAACCACTTGAAGGGTTGAGGCATAGAATTGGGTTGCCCTTAAGGGTTGAGGCATCAGAATTGCAGACATCGTTTATCCCGGCGTATTGTAAGAGGGGACTGAATGGGTTAGAATTCCTGGAATCTATACATGTATCTCTTGGCTCCAGCAGTTCAGGTGGTTTTGACTCCTGGTGTTGCTTAAAAATTGTAATTCTAACACCTGGTGTTGGCCAAAATCATCTTTCCTGTTTCGGCGCCATATGACCTAAATTGTGTTGGTGCGCCGTAAAACATAGAAAAAAAAATAATGAAAATAAAAGATTATTTGTAGCGAAATATCTTTATCTAGCGACAGGTTATTGCCATTTCTTTCACGTAAATTGCATTTAAAATGATGGCCATTACAATCGTTTTATTCGGTCATATGTATCTCATTTAGGCTATATTTACCCGTGTATCTCGACAGCAACTAATATTATGAGCTCCAAAAAATACTGTCGACATGAAACTAAAAGTATGTTTCGTGATAATGCCAAAAATGCATATTTAAACGTCTGATAAATACAGTTCTGGGAATACAATAATGCATCACTGATATTTCTGAAAGGCGAGTGGTCAATTATTCGTATTATTCCTGTATTTTCACCAGACAGTTTAGACAACAGGGAACCATATAATTTAATGGGAACAAAATCGTACAGAAAAGGAAGAATAATGCGTGATTAACTTGATGCGGGGGATGTTGGGAGCGCCGGAGATTTCAATACCTGTCATTCAATTGTTTGATTTAATGTTCCAAATACAATATGTGGTAGTTTAAGTTCGTCTCTGGTCTGGCGAGTGTTTCACTAACATTTCAAAGAGTCGCACTTACATAAAAACGTAAGTGTAGTTTATCATTGCTCTTGTTCTACCAGCGGAGACAGACGATGTGCGACTGATTGATGCTTTACCTCACAAAACAATTTTTCATGGAAACTAATGTCATTACATCCGTAACTTTTTTACAATAGCAAGCCTCTTTACTTCCCATTTGACGGGCCCTCACAGCTAGTGTAATCGGGAGAAGAGAAACGTTTTGTTATTATTTATTCAGCACTTTTTCTTCATTAACTTTTTTCTATGCAAATATATATATAATAATTATTGTTAAGATAAAAAAAAAACGCAAGAGAATGCCTTCAAAGATTTTTTATCATTGTCACTTTTACTTTTTTTTATAAACAATAACATTAAAAACACATTAGTTAATAAGTTTTAATAATGTACATCTAGAAACACGTTACATTGCTCGACATCATGAATCGTTTTTTACGTTGATATTTGTTCACATTTTTCCCGAGTGTAAAAAGTAAGAGAAGAAAAAGGAGTGCTAAATAAATAATTAAGTGGGTCCGGTTTGACCAGATATGAAATTGACTTGACGCCAGATTATCTAATTTGGTTGACTTGCAACACTGAGAAAGTATCAATAGAATGCGTTATTTGTATTGTTGCCTTAGAATACATTATAATTATATTCCTCTTTCAGAGGGGGAACACGTATATGAAAAAAGAACAGTGACATAAACATGGTAATCCCTAACCAGTGTTTATTGGCAGTTTAACACCGGTGTACAGAATGAATGAAATTTTTGTTTATTTCAAAAGCGGACAATAAAGGAGTGATAAAATATCATTTCAATATCCAGGTTATATCATCAATTTGTAACAAAATGGATTCAAAAAGTTTGATTAATTACAGTACAATGACACTGAATATAGTAACATAACTCGTACAGCTAAGAGCTCAACTGTGTTTTTAATTTGCATCACGAA